GATTGGATAGCCATTTTAACGGTCTTAGTAGTTTTTTACTTGAAAAGAATTTAATGTTGCAGAAATAGCTGCTTCTGGACTGGATTATTTGCTAGTGATAAATGTAATTGATACCACTTGTAATTTTTCAGAGACGGTGCATTTGATTGCCCTTGTTACTTGAACGTTTTTTATAAAATCTCTAATAAAGCGGTAGTTATTTCGAGTAAGAAGCTGCAAGTTGAAAATTTTTACGACTTTTTTGGGTTCGTGGTTGTTGGACAGGACGGATTGGTAAAAGATCATCCTCTTAATATGTGTTCCTTAGAGCAGTTACGTATTCAGCCTTTTGAAGTTTGAGGCGATCGATTAGTTGTTTACGCTTTGTCACTTTTGTCTGATTCGCCGTACTATTTCTGTTTTTCTCTTGGTTCGGTGGTACAAGCCGTGAATTTGATTCGAATTAAGGGTCAGCGAAGTGGTAGAGGATAAGTGAAGTATTTGGACGGGATTAGTGTGTATTAATGTGTGAGTTTATTTCTGTTGAGCAGTTCTTGTGAATGTATTGTTAGTGTCACTCTAAGATCTCTATTTAAAAAAGTTGTTGACAGAGGGTTCTTTATAGGTGAAAAAAGTTGTCAGTTATATCCTTAATGGGTGTCAAACTGAAAGAGGAACTTCCTTTTGCTCATGTTGTCAACAGCAGGTTTATGGCAGCTGTCTGCTCTCATTGCATGAAGGTGTACGTTACTTTGAGTTTGATACGAGATTCTGCAACACTTAAAAGAGCTTATTTTAACACTGAGGTTCTTGAGGCTACATATTGTTAAGAGTTGGCTTGTGCTGCTTCAAGGTTGGTTTTCGTGGCCCTAAACGTCATCTTGTTTGTTTTAAGGAATCTGAGAGTCGACTGTGCCATTAAGTGATGATTTTCAGGGCTGAAGTAGGACTTAAGCGTTGTTCAAAATGTTCATCTTGCTATTACTGTAATCCGCAGTGTCAAAGAGCAGATTGGAGCGGGCATAAAGTATTTTTATAATAAATTTTTTTTATTAATAAGGGCTCGTTTTATCAAAGATTGAGTTAGCCCTTAAAAATTTTAAAGTCAGATGTTGTCAAGGTTTCACGCTGAGGCGTGTTTATGAAAAGAAGACATCTAAAGATGAATTTATTCAGTGGAAATTACATTTCTTCTAGGGTGTAGTTTTCTGAAGCAGAAACTGAGAAGTTGACCGCCCGAAAAGCTTCTCACTTTTATGTTACTGTGGTCGTGTTAAATATTTCAAAAACTGGGTTGTTCAGTCAATAATCTTAATGCCTTCATTTCTGAACTTTTAGCACGAGTGTAAGTTATTAAGTAAAGCTGACAGTAAGCCCGTGATTACTCAGTTATGTCGACTGATACTGAGAATTATGGCAAAAAGTAAAAAAATGCCTCCGCCTGCATTCAATGGCCGAACATTGGACTCTCTCACTTCGAGTAAGACTTATTTTTTTTGTTACTTCTATCCTCGCGAAAGTTTTTTCTGCAGCCGGTTTTTCATTTTGTTATTGTACTTCATTTATTCTTTTTCACCAGATGTGAAGGAGTTACGGGAGCGTCCAGCAGTCCAGCAGACATTTACCGCCATTGTCATAGCACTGAAGGTTGTTGAAGATACTGAGACCTTACCGCCTGCGAAGACATTGTTTGAACTTTATTGTAAAGTCGGTGCAATCAATTGTTATTACTTTGGTTCCTAGTTTATAACGAATTCTCAAAAAAATGTTCAGCTAGATTCTTTTGACCCGTTCTACTTTGATGCAGACAAATTATTTAGTTGGGCACTAATGCGGTTACGATAACAAATGATGAAGATATAGGGATTGGCATCGGTTTGTACATTGGGTGAGAGCTTTTTTTTCTGGGTTCATTATTTTACCAGTAGCTTTCACTTGTTTATGATGCAAGTAGTTATCGTTAAGTATTACATCGCGCTTAATTAGTTATATTTTCCATCAGCAGCGCAAATTCAGGTTCTCGGAATTGAATCACAGTTGCGATCCAGATGCATACTATCTTTTTGAAGGCTCCAAGATGATCTTGAGGGCCTTGAAGGATAATGTTGCAGAGTACAGTAGTGAGGTCTGGCCGAAATGTACAAGTTTCAGACTTCTCTTTCAGTAATTGTCTACTCTTCGATGTTTCTTGTCGTTAAAAACTTCATTAATCTCTTGTTCTAATGCTTAATATAATGGTTTTTCCCTTTAATTTTTGACATATTTCTAGTTACGTATTGCTTATTGTGACCTCATGGATTTCAATGATACAAGACGGAAGTTCTTGAAACAACAGTACTGCTTCGACTGCAACTGCAGATTATGCCAGGACGATGAGCGCGTTAGCTTGTGAAAAGTTTCTTGCGTTTAACTTCTTATTTGTGGTGTGTAATCAGTCATTTGTAGGATAGAGTTGCACGTTCTCTTCGGTGTTCGTACTGTAGAGATGGATACTGTCCGCTAAGCCTTGATGGAACATTATCGTGCTGTTCATTCTGCAAAAAGAAGTCAAGCGCGGACCCTGCGAACGCCCTCGTTCTATTAGGGCAGTTAGAGAAAGCGAACAAGAATCTTGATGAAGGTATGTCGTAATTATGCATTTCTGTTTTTACCATTTGTTGCGCAAACTTTACAGATTTTTCCTTCCACTGTCGCATTCCCGGCACAGTCAATATAATTATTGTCTTAGGTGTTACTTGCAATATGTTTTCAATTTGCAACCTGTATAGTCGTGGTGAAAAAGTATTTTCGGAAGTCAACATTCCACTCTGTAAGCTAGCAAATAATATTATCCGGTGGGCTCTAAATACCGGGAACTACCAACTTGCAGCAAAATACACCGAGAAGACACTATCATGCTTTAGGTCAGATTTGGCCTTGAGTATTTGACCTGCTTCAGTGCGTGAAGTTTAATTTGTTAGCATGTGCTCTAAGATATAAAGGGCATAGTTGTTTAATGTTTCAGATACTACTTCCCAGTGGGCTATCCTGTTATTTCAGAAAAATATTACTCAGCAGGGAAACTACATTCTTTAGATGATTCTACTTTAGAACTTTCTGCTCGCCGATTATGTCAGGCAAGGAAGCTAACTCTTTTTTTGCCGTTGTTTTTTTTTATAAACACAAAGTTTCTCAAAACCATCCATTGTTTTGTTGAAGGCAATTTTTATAGGCGATTACACTCTTGCAAATTAGCCACGGAAACAATCATCGTATGGTCATTGAAGCAGCTGATCTGCACGCAAAGGTTCGTCAACAACGAAGTGATTTGCTCCATCACCCAGATGAGGAAGCAAGACCAGTTATGTAGCCAGAGACAGCAAGATCCATTTGCGAGCGTGCACTGACAAAGTGGACAAAGTGCTGTTCGTTTGTTTCCTCACCCCTAAGAAGCAAACTTAGGGCAACGTAAAGATCGTCTGCTAGTTTCACTTGACGAAAATTTTTCTAAAACTGGGTCCTTCCCATTAAAATGAGGGAGTTATGCGCTCTCGGTTCTAAAAAATGTTATATACTGCTTTACTGCATGTACTTAACTGATATGATCTCATTGTATGCTAATGTTTTTATGTTTGTGACCTTGACAAGGGTGAGTTCGGGTAAATTTATGACCACGAAGTTTCCAATTGGCAAAGCGCTTAGTTTTTACATTCTATTTGTCCCCACTAGTAAAATCTTCATGGAGTATGTAGTGCGCAGTAATGGGCCTCATTCCCAACATTTGAGAGTCCACTGTGTGTCATCTTTCAGTAGTTTTGAAGGGTTAATAGTGATTGCGAGGTAGATTACCCATCCCGTGTAGGAGAATTGAGTATTTCCCATCGGCTAGTCCGTAAACTGTTTCGTAGTGATTACCGTATGAGTAAAACTCGCCACTCAACAGTAGTCAGTGCTTCAAAAAACGAAAGAAAAAACGACTACTGGAGATGGTTACTCTCGGGCAGGTTCTGAGCCGACTGCTGAGGAAGGCGCAAGAGATCTACTTATCTTCCATGCTGGCATATTTGGTTCCAGCCCAGCATTTTTTTAAATCTTGTGGCTCCCAACAAACGTTATAAGCTCTTGGTTGGTGCCACGCTCCTCTGCCCCCCTACATGCGATCTAACTGAAGTGAACCTAACCTTGATGTAAACTGCCCTTAGCTTGGCAGCTAATCAAGTACGTCCGTGAACAAGGTGGGATTTTAAGAAAGCTGCGTTCTTTAAGGAACCCATGATTACAGGGTGCCTAGTTCGTGCATCAATTGGGCCCAATTTTGGTGGCGTCGGACTACAAAGTTTTCTTCTCTAAAGACACCTTAGTTTTAGTGACTATGAAAGTGTGCTTAAGGGAGGAGGTATTATTAGTAGTGACAAGATCACTCCTTCGAATATTAAGTGCTCAATGACAACATTCTACGCTGAAAGCTCCATCCCTAAACAGTGAGTCTAGTGGGGTTCAAATACTAAAACAACTAGACTTGATACTGCGCAGCGTTATAGTGCAAAATTCTACGTTCCAAATACAGAAATCATTAAAATCGTAAAAAACAGGTGCATCGTCGCCCAAATTTACCGAGGCCGTACAGAAGGTTCAGTGATGCGTATTACGTACTGCAATCTAACAGAATCTTAATCTGAACTGGTGCCGAGTTAACTTTTTCCGGCTCAAACAGGTTACTTTAAATGCCCAACCACTACAGAGCCATGGGGTTTGACTATTAGCCTTCTTCCACAAATGTGAGACGATATGGATACAAAGTAAAATTGTTGCAGCATCGCAAGCAAATTTAAAAATGGATAGGTTCAGCCAATAAATCTGAGAAATCTAATGAAAATTACGTGTTTCAAAAGCCATTAAAATTCTCTGGCTGAAACATGTATCAAATTCACTGCAGTTATTGTAGATGCTGAAGTCGGCTGCAACTGCAAATGCTTTTTATCACTGGAAAAGAAGCAGAAAGTCACTGGTGAACTGTTCTCTGCAAAGTCGGGTTTTTTCTTCGTTAAGCTCTTAAAACTGTGTTCTTATTTCTTTGACATCCAACGAACAATGTGAAATCAACACTTAAGTTAAACTAAACAATTCTAAGGGCTCTGAACTTTAAGTTTTGCGCATTTATAGACAAAATCGCTCTTCAGAAAATCTTCAGTGGTAACCAAAGCTAGCATAGATCGCCTCGCTTGAGGCTGCTAGCTGTTTCCGCTCTGTCCTCCATTTCAGTACTTCCTTCCTCGTGTCTTCTTCAGCTTGGTGAATAGCAATGTAAAATGGCTGACTTACAGTAAGGTCAAGCAATTCCGATTTCATTTCCTCTGTCACCACCATTAAACTCAACTTTTCTTCATCAGATAAGTTTTCTGAAATCCAAAATCCAGTAATTTAGAGCGTGAGTGACTGTAAAAAACCTGATTTAAACATAATTACTTTTCTATAGTAAAAACTGAGAACAAACCGTCTCGCACGACAGCATCCAAGAGCTTGTGAAATATAGTTTCTTTGACACCCTTATCACCGGCCGTCTTCAATTTCTTCCACAACTCTTCATCAGCCTTTATAGCTGTCATCCATACTTTTTTCCTCAGCCTTTTAAATTCTTCAGGATCATATTTACTTTCATACATCAAAGTTCTCAATACCATTAATGCTCTGCAAAAACAATGCTCTGTATACACACTCCAGGGAAAGATCAAAGTTTTAAGGTGAAAATATTCAGGATATCAAGACCTGAGACATCCTTCCACACTTTCGGCGTCGTTACTTAAATTGGCGCGAATAATTTCTTCCGGTGTTAAGACAGGAACACAGCCTCCCGGAGTTTCACTAGTAAATTGCTGCAAAGAGGGTTTAACAATTTTAAAACAGTGCAGTTTTCAAAAGAGATATGAAATGAAAATGAGGTTAAGCTGTTCACTTTTATTAATTCCTCAGGGAGCTGCTCTTGATGTTTCACCATTCTCAAATCTTCTTCCACTTTACTGACAAAAGCTTCATCAACTTCATTTGCACATAAGGCAGCAAGCTTTGCAAAGGATAAAAGGTGCTAAAAATGTAAGAGCAATAAGAAACTGCAAGGTGAATAAACTTAGAAGAAAAAAAAAGAATCAAATCCCTACTAAATAAGAAATACTAGAAACTACTGCAATAACGACCTTTTTTATGCTAACATCATCGTTTTTATTGTCGGCAGCACTCCGGAGTATTCGACTTGCCTGCAACTCATGATAGTATATGTTAACAAAACAGGGTCAAAATGCAACGAAAAATTACTTCATTGTATTCGTGCATCTTTATTTTGCGTATCCAATTAATGTCTTCATGAGTGGCGAAAAACTGTTCTGCTTGATCTCCTGTTTCATCCAATAAATTTTCCAAATAGCCTGAAGCTAAACAGGTAAGAAATCTAGTTTACTAATAACAGCTAATGATGGTCTATTAAAAAGTTCTGAAATTTCCTTTAATATCATATTAATAAAACTACAATTTAACATCCAAAGCAAACCGTGCTCTAAATAATATCGGTGCAAGACTTGGTAAAAAATGGGAGAATTGAATTTCTGTTTATAATCCTTTATCCTTGCTTTACGGTCTGCATCGCTTAAGGGCTCTGTAAGCTCAAGGAGAATTTTGAAGTCCTGTAAAGATGTAGCCATATTCAAAAAGCAGAAAATATTTGAATAATCCCCATCAGTAACATAGAAGTTTCAAGTAAAAAAAAATAACGATAGACTGGTGGTGAAAATTTGAAGAGGAGAATTATTCGTTGGTAACAGGGACACATCAGATATAACAATTAAATTTTCTGAAAAACCATTCTAAGGAAAAAAATTAACAAATCTATCAAGATTCAAGCTACCAAACAGCACAAGATTCCTTACTTTCTGAGGGAATAATATTCACATTGTCTGAAACTGGGCAAATAAAATAATGAGCTCACTAACATATAACGCAATATTCAAAATTTACTTCAAACTGTTCTGCCAGTTGAGTACCGGCGACTTCTTCACCGAGATCAAAGAAGCCCTTTACTATTTTTGAACCTAAGCGTTCTTCCGGTGTTTGCTCTCCCAAAATAAATGAAGCTAGCACAAGTGCCTCACGTTTCAAACGGGAATTGCTTATTCCTTCGCTCAACGCCTTGCGCAAGGCATCAAAGACAACATTTAACTGTAACCAAAAGCTACATTATTTTAGTGAAGGATTCCTAAAATTGTAATCGAATATCCAAAAAATAACAAGGCGACATGAAAGAACGTTTGAAATACCAAGCCGTACATGTTTTTTTAACACGGACAGTATTAAGCTTTCTTGCGTCCATCGCAAATCTGTCCCTGTGTTTAAAACCGATTCATCACGACAACGATCAATCGCATCAATGCAAATTACAAGGATATTTCCAGTTTGTTCTATGCATTCCATTCTCTCAGTAAGTGTTCTACAATCCTCCAAAACAGCTTCTTCCTCTTCAAGTAATGCTTCAAAAATATCATCGATAGACGAGATCTGAAACATGCGAAAAAAAAGTAAATTGTTCAATAAAAATTAAAATGTATTTCACCAAAGAAATGAAATAAAAATTAAAATTTGGAAATGCACGTGGTAAATCTTGGTCAATAAAAGTGACTACTTCCTCATAAAGGCATTATATAAATATATCACTTGAGTCAATATTTATAGAACTTAAGCAGGACCATTTGAAAAAAATAGTCGTAAGAAGTTAATTGTTCTTTCCGACTTTCGTCCTTCCTCCTACTCAGCACTCGTTCTACAGCAGCATCAAAGATAGGTACAGAATTTTTCTGAAAGACTAAAAAAGTTACTGAGGACTGAAACAGATTGAAGAAATTCAGGTAAAGATTTAATTAAAATTTTATTCGCGAACTCACAATGGCATAATTGCACAACTCCAAAGCAAGAGATACTTTATCAGTAAGTTCGCAGAGCTGAGACCGGATACTTCGCTTACTTGATATGGCAGAGGTAGCAACAACGCCAAACTACAATGAGCAAAAGCTTAAGAATTCAAACCACAAACAATTGCTTACCGTTTGAAAACCTAAATCTCATTAAACGAATATTAGTTAACAATCGGTGTTTTTAAAATTAAAGGCTAACCCCAACATCCAAATCCATATGCCGTATAAACAAAATAAACATAGAGAGTACTTTCATCTTTTGTTCTACTTGAACATTCACTAAAAACGACTGTCCTAACATAACAGAGCGCCCTGAAATAACTATTTCCACTGCACCCATTAATCGTGTTCAACAATATTTAGTAAACTTATAAAAAATAAATGACTATACCCCTAGTTAAGCGCCCCGAAAAAAACCAGCGTTCATCGTTTGGAATATCATCAACTATTGTTAATGAATAGTCAACGCAAAGACTTCCCAGCGATATTCGTCGAAGTTCAAACAACTCGGACAAAACAACTTTGGCACCATCCTAAAGAAAACTATTTAAAAATGTCGAATGACAGGAAAAGATGAATTTCAAAAAAATTGTGTTTTTACAATACAGAGAAATTAACAAATCCCCACCAAGTCGGCTTGACAAAATTTAACAAATGCTTTATTCAGTAATTCTGCATCATGTTCGATAGCTTTCGGAATAATGTGACGACCACATTTATTTACAGATAGTACATCGTCGACGACAGTCAAATCAAACCCCCTGAAAAAATTAGAGCACAAAGAATCTAATAAAAGAGCCAATTCACAAACATATAAATCCAAGAAAAATCAACCTAGGAAAAAGGCAAACACGGCAAATACCCTTCTCACGCAGGAATGTGTAACAATACCGATCATCTGAATCTAAAAAAATATAAATTTGCAACATTAAAGAAGCTATCCAAACTCAGTTCTTGTGCACAATTGCATACATTACTTCAATCAAAAGTGTTGAACTGTACCTGTTGAAATCAGATCGTCATTATAACTAGTTGCATGTATGGATTCAACTGGACCGCCAGAGTGAGTTGCTGGGAGACGTATCAAATAAACGAATCGTTTGGTTGCAACAGTAACAAGGCTGGAGTTAAATTCTACATTTTGTGCTACTTTTCTAGGAAGCAATAACGTTATAGGCAAAGCATCCGGCTCCTAAAGTAATTCTATAAAGACGGCACAGCGAAAATGCCACTTTAAAAGTTTTAATTATACCCTGTAAATCTCGTCAGTGGGGAATTGTAAGATACTGAACCAATCGTAATCCGATGGCTGTTCATCGTCATTGCAAGACCCAAAATAAACTGCAAATATTTCAAGACAACAAAACTATAACATTCACAAACAAATCTTTTGCAAAAAAGAATAAAAATAGGTCGAACCCAAAGCAAAGTGAAGATGAGTAGATATGGCATCGTTTGATGCTGCAGCCAAAATCATTATGCCCTCACTAAAAGGCAGTGCATCCACTAAGAATGTTCGAACAGTAAAATGAGAGCTTTTTCTTTCTTTTGAACCACTAACATGCTAAAAAAGAAAAAAAATCTCAAAAATAAACTAATTCGTCTAGCATTAATTTGAGCATTGAAAAAGTGATTCACATAACAAATGTTTTCCGCCACAGCAATAACAAAACCAACCCACAAAACAGAAGAGAATGCATTTACAAGCATTTTAGATACATTGCATGACCAGTTCTGCACCGGCGGGTTGGTTGAATAATGTCTCAACTGCTTATTAGTAATAGCAACAATAGATACACTGGACAAAACCTCTTCTAAAGAGACTTCGAAATCAGTGTGTTCATGACGACTGTCCAGTATAAAAGCCCGAACTAGCCTAAAAGTGAAAGCATCTCAAAAAAACCCAATAATCTTATCGAATAACTAATAGCACCAAATGAAAACTACTGCTCGACAATCGTTCCACGTGACATCATAGAAGGCCAAAGAAAATTATACCTTAAATTTCAGTGTTCAACTAGCACAGTTATTGGCCCATTGAAATGAAAACTGGTAGAATACAAAAAAAGGCACACTTCAAAGAAAAATTTGAAAAAGATATACCAAGTGTTGATAAACTTTACCCACCAAGATAGCCTCTACAAAAAGGGCAAATAGACAGAAAAAAAAAACAAAATGTTAAAAATATGAGATTATATTTTCAAATTAAAAGCAGACCTCAACCCATGATCGCCGCTGTCTCCGAGCAGCGCAGACGTAACCCGACGAGTGAGACTTTTAGGCTTTTTTGTGTAGAACGGCTGCACTACTAACCCACTCTGTAGACGCTGCTTTTTCCCGGGTGACGGTGAGCTACTTGTCAGTACACGAATACAGTAGAAGGAGAAGGTAGTTGTTGAAAGTAAAAATAAGCCTTCACCATTAATACTCTCTGGAAATGGGGTAAGAGAGTGTACCACCTCTCTATCCAACTCAATGGCAATGTCAGTCGGATGATGACTTACAGATGCCCAGTGACGAACTGTACCTTCTGGCGACACTGCAATAACTCCAGGAAAGGCAGCATCTAAAACCTTAGCTTTAATTAAATTTCCTCTTATTACTTTTCATTTTTATTTCATAAAGCACGGTAATGTCAGTATTTACTAAATCATTTGAATTAAAATCACGAATGGCTGAATGACTAGTTAGTAATAAAGTCTAATCAATTATACTGCACATATCACCTGATTGCATATATACACATATTGAACGAGTCGTGAACGGCAAACCAGACTGTGGTAATGTCAAAATATTTAATGAATTAACTTCATTTTCCTAAAATTCATTAAGTACTATTTTCCTCAAAGACAAATAAAATTTGTGGTTTAAATGTACAATGGTACTAAATGTTCACTGTAGTATCGTATTTCCAAATGTAAAGTTGTTTTCCAACCACCAGCCACGCATAACCATTTTCAGAAAGCGATGCAGAACAAGTGAAGTTCTCTTCTTCACCTGAAGAATACGTACTATCCGACAACTTTCAAGAGTATAGTTTATGGAATTATAAAAAGATGGGAATTAAATTCAATTCTTTACAGTAAACCATCGTCAATACCACTCCTACACTGCAAATATTTCTAGCTCAGCGACTAGCATTCACAGAAGTAGCTATATTAAAAAAACAACATTAAAAAGTTTAGCATTGCCTGTAAGAACTGACTTACCAGCTAACTGTTCACGAATTAGGCTTGGGTACTCCTCTCCCAGTGGCGTTAATACGACTTCTTCTTCAACTGGCATCACTAAAAAAAAACACCTATGTGAAGACAAGCGTCAGGAAAAATTAACTCGACTCCAACCGACCGATAATCAAAGTGCAATAAACGTGTTTTCGAATATAAGTTTTCTTTAAGTTTGGTTTTCTAATGGATAATAAAATATACAGCCGAAGCACTTAAATTTCGCGCCCAAACAGCATAAAATTTGAGGCAGGCGATAGTGACCAGCACAAAGTCCTACGGCATACAATCGTTCCACTAATTAACGGTGACCCCAGTTATTAATACTTCTTCAGACAGTTTTTTGGCTGATGTCTACACTTTTTCAGTCAACTGTGATCGTATCTTCGTAAGATTCTAATATCAACAACGAGAACAACAAAAACTTCCAACGACACTGATTCCGTTGGCCACGTAATTCGATATTCAACCGGGATATCTTCAAAATCACACCCATTACTAAAGATATCTAAAACTCCCATCTACAAATAACGATGCTGGTATTACAACAAAGAGAACTGTTACAAAGTGGGATCAACAAAATGCAACAAAGAGGTTTCGTAAGAACAAAGATCCTCGAGAACAGTACAGTAAACGGTGGCTTTTTTCTTGCAAATGGCGGTAATTTCTTCACCAGTCCATTGAAAAATACAAAAAATAGCACCAAACTCATCAAAAACATCTAGTAAAAGTTGTTCTTAAACTGCGCTTGAAAACCGTATAATTTTTGCTCGTTCATATGCCAATAATTCCCTCCTAATGCGGAAGAATAACAATTTGAGATTAGTACCAAACATTAATTAACCAATTAACCTCACATTTGGAATTTCTTCGCACAACCCTAACCTCCTCACTACATGCAAAGACAAAGCAATCAGCCAAATAGTAAAGCCCACAACCTGAAAAACAGGTTACTCAACAAGCCCCAGCCATATGCGGACCATTTACCCTTCACATAACCCAGTTCCACATTTCAACTTCAGAGCAACTCAAGCAAATTAAATCTGTAGCAAACGTCCATCACGCCAGCACCAACCAACAAAAATCAACAATTTACTTGCTGCCTAGCTTCCAAAAAATGACCCACCACTAAGAATCTCTTCAGCAACGCAATAAAACGTTCCGAGATTAGAAGAGCTACAAACCCTAACCCTGCGTCATAAAAAACCTCAAGTGAAATGTGCAAGCAGCACGCACAGGGCTATCCTGGCTACACTTCGGTGTTTAATACACTTCTTTAACATTTCAACGGCGAAAAATTTTATCACAGCAGGAACCGTATCGCAAAAAGGTCTTGGAAGATAAGAGAGCATTTTGAAATCTACCAATGAGTTTTGAGATAACAAGTGAATTTAAAGCATCTGGACTTCTAAATAATTATCATCTGCATAAAACCCAATAAATAAAAACACTAAAAAAGTTCACTTCACAACAACATATCAAAAGAAGTGAATATCAACTATATCAAAAAATAGTTAAAGGGACCCCTGTATTACACTTATCTACAATATACACGATCATTTCATCAGGAAAAAAGCAACCAGTTAAACACAACGACAAAGGTAGACGTACCTAAACCGTAATTTGAAGCTATCAGAAAAAGAATAGCAGACTAAACAGGACAGCAAAGCAGGAAAAACATTTCTTAAACTAATTTCATTCCTCTCGGACCTTTCAAGTCTAGGCGGTAGTTGCGGAACAAATAACCCCGTCAAATTTAAGAATTGGTTTTGATTGCCCTATGCCATACATGTCAGTTAATTAAAATGATTATTTGCCTCCTTAAAAAGAAGTCAAGCAACCCGTTAACGACTAACACTTCACAGCGGAAAAGCAAATGAAATATTTAGACAGTTTTTTTGAACAACACTTTTTTACATTAGAGTGGATGACAATTTTAGGATCAAAGCAATTTGTTCTATATAGCAAGAAGAAAGTAGCTGCACTCCGGAACAAAGCAATAGATAAATTCTGCCACAATATTATACAATGAGGTGTAATAAGGAAAAATAACGAATCATATATGTAAATAACACCTAAAATGAAATTTTAACGATAACTGCCCATCGTGAACGCTAGAGAATTAAAAATATCAAAGTGGCAAAGGAGGAAAAGCTAAGAATAAAAAACCCATTCAAAACTTTACAATATTCTATACTTGAGATAAGTCTTTTCTGAGAGTCGTATTAACAGCAGCATCACCAGGTTCTTCATTCGAATGACGACGTTTTAAACGTATATTCACATCATACGAAACATTCGCATCAGAGTCAGTCTGAAAGTTAGATGAAACTTAAAAAGTAAAACACGCTTCTATTGAAAGTAATAGGTAATGATTTTCAACAACATCACAAATAAAGCAGTTCGCAAACACAAAAACTGTAGGGTCCAACGCAAACTACCTTCCTGAAATTCCCTGTTTTCGAAGTGGTCGGAACTTCTTCTTCACACTTCAGCTCTGCAAAACGGTTCATATGGTGCCGATTCAGCATATGACTTGGTATGTTTGATCGTGGAGGACAGTGTAATTCACCGTCTTCACTTAAAACGTATTCAGGTAACGAATAGTACGACTCAGACCGAGAAATAGGTGACCCGACATCTAGTTCCCGTAATGGGTCAAGAACAGCTTGTTCAGCTTTCTAAAGTAAAACTCTAAACAGGATATACAAAAAAAGAAAAAAATATTTTTTTAACCAGAAAAAAATTGGAAAAGCTTTGTCGTAATATAAATAAAAGTACAGGAGGAATAAGTGATGCCGCTGGAGAGTTATCGCTGAATCTTTCTAGTAAAGTATTTATATATTGTTGTTTCACCCTATACTGTCGTATTAGCCGTAGCCTTTGTTGGACAGAAAATGTTCGAAGACGAGTCATCTGGAACAAAATAAGTTTGAAAATTAAAAACGCTTTTGGGGAAAAAAAGAAGTTATACCTGCCGCTCATAACTTTCCCACAATTGTTCAGCGCGTTTTGAGCCATATTCGCGAAGACGACACATCTATAGAGATGTCAGAAAATGTAGAATAAAACAGTAATGAGATTTATTCTAAATTCTTTCGAAAAATTGGTAAAATACAGCACCCCAAACTTACCACCAAATTCAGAATTTGAATGAACGAGTCATCCGAAAAAAAAAAAAAATAAAATAAAATAAAAAAATGATTATCTGGTGAATTCATTACAAAATATGCCACACACCTGCTGATTATAATTCTCACGGATGTTTTCAAGATGTTGATTGACATAACTTTTTTGTGCAGCTCGATAGCCTCGAAATCTTTCGGCTTGGCTTGCATAAGATGCACGTAACTGCTCTACCTAACCAACAATAACTTTAAAATTTAATAATATTCAACAAGACCAGTATGAGGCCTTATAATTAAAAAAAATAGACAAAAAACCTGTTGGTGATAATTATCCCTGATCTGTTCAATTCTACGATGATAACCCTCCTGTAGATTCAGCATCTGCTTTTGTCTATACTTTTCGCACGCTTCAACCATCCTTCTAACACGAGAAAGTCTTTCTGAAACCTATGGAGTTTTAAAGCCAAGTATAACTTGCAAAACTCTAATTATTATACGACAATTAGAAGAAAATGCCCTACCTAAATCAGGACGTAAAACCAATCAGGACGCGAAAAGAAAAAAAAAGTTTTTATTTGTTGGTTTTTAACCTTTCTCGTTGTTTGTCTGGAGTACACAAAAGATTACGGCTTTAAAAGAAGAGAAAAAAGAACGACTGCTTGACAGAAAAACCTACCAGTCCGCTTGATCCACCATAAGACAACTTTCCGACAGACTATCCATGTTACATTAAATAGGAATGAAACAGCACAAAAACAAAGCGAAGCCAGAACACTACCCCAAAAAACAGCGCTCGGATAACTCAAACCAAACCAAGCAGAATAATCTAATCGAAAGTGAATAATCTGTGAAGAATTCCCCTAAACAATGTGACAGTTTATGAATTCGCAACCCCTAAAGATCCTGAAAGCTGTTAGACTACTCGCCAACTATATAATTTACCAGTTTCGCTCAGAAAGGAGAATTTAAAATTACACTAAAACCTACTCGTAAACTCCAGTGCACAAAATAAAGAATCCAATCTTAGTTTCAAACTAAATTCTTTTGCAAAATCATGCTGCGCGACTCTGAGTCACACTCAATTAATACTGCAAACCATACTACTAAAACATTTTTACATTAAAGACTTCACGAAAACTTACATAAGTATTGGCAGCAGTACACCGATATTTTCCTACCAAATTTCTATCCGCCTTCGATATTGACAAGTAACCACCAACAAGAACACGGTAGACATCTTTGCGCGACCAGACAACACTCACGTCTCTCATTTTTGAATCATACGAACCGATAAGTTTGTTAACCTCTACCATCCACCACTCAATTTTTGGTGGTGGTTTACCATAAAAATCACACGGTAGGACTGCTCGACTTGCTACTGGTACACGAACTACAACCTTCCCGATCCATGGAGGCTTATCAATTCCTAAAACCAAAACAATGAGTACCTACACAATTAAAATAATGTTGCACATCCAGTTCAGAAAATTAGTGACATTACCTAAACTGCAATTTGCCTCATAACTGTTGTTTTTGAAAACTTTCTGCAGAGTTGCTGGACTGTTATTTAACCAATCAGCAAGACACATATTTTCGCTTAATCGGTTATTGTCTATTATAATAACACATGAATCAGTTAACCTAAACAAAAAAATAAAATAAAATTTTAAAAAATTGAATCTTGAAAAGAAGTAGAAACTCTACCACTGCACTAAAAAAAAGTAAATTTGACAAACCTGTCAAAAAACGCATTAGGGAAAGACGAAACCATTGATCCAGTCAAACGAAATATTTTAACGGTACTTGGTAACTGACCAAATATTACGGAAAGATATTTACAATCAGAAAGATCAACCTGAAAAATTTTCCTGAAAAATGATGAAGATGTCGGGTCTGAAGAATACCTATGCATAAGGCAAAGTTCAAGATAAATTACCTCTTCTAGCAAATTAGCATTTAAAGTATCAAAGTCGACGCTTTCCACAAAAGTAGCAGCTAATGAAAGCATACGAAGGTTAGGGCAGTTCTCAGCGGGTGATGTTGAAATCGCTGTGCCGCTTAAATCCAAAATCTTCAAAGATGGTAAATCGAGAAGAGTAATTTTGTTTAACTCGCAGTTTGCTGATAAGTTTAAGGAAACAAGTGTAAGTGGAAAGTGTTCAGGAACATTTTGCAAACGATTATTTGACATATCCAGATGCCATACAGGTGGAATTGAGTCAACATCCACTATCTGAACAAAATTACCAAATGAGAGTGAAAATAAAATTATTTACGCATGGTGCCAAAAGTCAGTTTTAACTTGAATAAATGTCTTCAAAAATTGTCAATTAAAGATGAACCTTGTTGTAAGAAATATTTAATGACTGTAGACCAACAGGAAATATACCGCCATCTCGAAAATCATGAAATTTATTCCGCGTAATTTTCAGTGACACA